TTCACGGAATGAAGGAATAAACGACAGAATAAGTTAATGAGGAAGCTATCATTTATCCATTTTACAAGTAAGGAAATTGAGGCTCAGAGATGTCAAATTATTTGTCCAAGGTCTTCAGTGGCAAAATTATTTTAACTGTGGCCCCTAGGCCTTCCCTTTATCCCTCCACCGTTTTTTTCTAACTTCCCTTTCCCTGCTACATTTTCACCAATCTGTAAAGCATAATGGACCCAGTACAAATTTTTATGGTGTGATTTCACAGGACTTTAGTGTCCCATCGCTCAAGGATATCTGCCTAACAAACCATCAAAGCTACTTCCCTTGAGTATTTCCAGGAGAGCTAAATTGAACAAAAATATCTTACCTGGTAAGAGTGACACTTCCTTTTGCTGTCTTTCTCTACATGCATATACACACATTTTTTTCTTCTCTCTGAATCTTATAAAAGCCAACAATAAAATCAAATGTAAGAAAGAAAATTCAGAAAAGAGTAAACTAAGAAAGAAAAAAATTATAACCCCCCGGGTAAACACTAGCATACAAAAGTACATGTGATAAGGCACTTTACCCAAGCTTATTTGGACAATTCTTGCCATATGCCTCCCAGTAGCCACCATCAAGCGAGGAACATGTCAGTTATGTGACATATTCTGAAGATTAAAAAATTCAATCAATTTCCAGGAAGAGCACAACTATTCCTGTGTCTAAGTACTGAGAGAAATTCCCCTTGTGGATCCTTACAACAAGAGCATGATAGGAGACAGTAATCAGTATTCTCAACTACAACCTTAGAAAAAAATAGATCAAGCTTCAGAGAAAGGTATCTTATGCTATCTCTTAGCAGGCATGACTGGTATAACGCCAAAACCTATGCAGCACTGGACTGCCTTGCTATTCGAAGCGTGGTCCCTGGACCAGCAGGAGCACCTGGGACCTGGTAGAAATGCAGAATCTCAGGTCCAATGCCAGGCCTGCTGAATCAGTCTGTATTTTATTGACAGGATCTGCAGGTGATTCCTCTGAACATTAAAGTTCAGCAAACACTGGTCTAAAGGTTACGCCAAAAAAATTTCTAACAGACCAGTATTCACTTATTCAGTCAACACAGATTTGCTGAGACCTTGGTGGTAGGAAAGGATTCCTATCAATGGAACACCAAAAGCCACCACCATAAAGGAAAATATTGATAAATGGGTCACCATTAAAAATGAGTGGCAAAGCAAGCCACAGAGTAAACGATATTTGCAATAATACCAGAAGAAAGGTTGAGGTAACTAAATATGTACCAGGCGCCACCTTAATATGGGAATATAGCAATAATACAAAAACTCTCCACACTTACGGAGCTTATATTCTAATTGGGAAAGAACATAAACAAAATGAAACAAGAAAAGGGCAGAAGTCAGGGGACGAGGTTGCAGTTTTAAGCAGGGTGAACAGGGAAAGCCTCACCGATGAGGGAATGACCTATACAAGGTCAGAGAGCTAGCTATAAAAATAGCTAGGGGAAGAGTATTCCACGCAAAGGGAACAGCGAGTACAAATATCACGAGACAATGAATGCCTGAAACAGCAAGAAGGCCAGTGTGGTCGAAGCAGAGTGAGCAAAAGTGGAAGAGGTATGCAGGGGGGCCAGATCATGTGGGACCCTGTCAGCCATTTTAAGTGCCTTAGCTCTAAAAAAGATGAGAAGCCACTGGAGAAAAGGTAATAGGGAGCCACCGCAGGATGTTGAATGGGGAAGTAACATGATGAAGTACTTTTAAGATTGGTTTCTCAGACGTACATGCAATTTCTTGAGAGAATCCAGCCCAGAGTACACTGCACTAATCCTAGTAAATGGGGATTCATTTGTTCAACTATTTATTAGGTGCCAGGGCTGTGCCAAGTAGTGTGGGGAGGATCTAGACTAGGGTGAGAACTGAGGGAACTGCCAGAGGAAAGTGCATATAAATGACATTGAAAAGAAGGAAACCCAGGATAGAAGAACAGATTCTTTAGAGAGAAATGACAGAAGTCCGCAACTCAATTTAATCAAGGTTTATGGATCATCTACTGAGGGCAAAGCCATATGCTGGCTAGGACGTGTGAGTGGGGATGGGACAGAAGATTTCTATTTTCCCCTCATAAGGGCTTCAAGCCAGGCATGCTTAGCCCCTGCCCTGCACCTTTTCAAGCCTGAATTTCTCAGATTACTGCAGCTGAGGCTGGCACGGAGACTGGCTTCCTTGCTCAGGTTAAGAGTGTGTGTGTGTGTGTGCGCGCGCGCGCGCGCGGGGGGGTGTGTGTGTGTGTGTATGTATGTTAACCCTCAGAGCTTGTTCTATCTCCTGGGAGCAGGGGCCAAATCACCTCAAATTGATTAGTATAAAAAGATACATCTGGCTTGGCAGGAAGGCAGAAGAGAGATCTTAATAAATGTCTTTTTGGATCAGCGTTTCAGACTGGCCCTGGGTCACCAGTTTTGGGGCAAGGAGTCCTTGTTGGTCTGTTTCCACCTATATGACCTGATGGCTCTCCCACTCTGTCACTCCATTCTGGAGAGAAGGCCCCAAGGCATGAAAAGGAAAGAAGCAAAAAACGAATTTGAAAATTGCCTACCACCAGACTGCAAGGTCTGAGGAGCAGATGCAAATGTAATGCAAATGATATGTAAATAGCCCCGTGGCCTTCCGAAAGGTTTCATACAATTGGAAGGGCCCTTAGGGAACTGCTAGCAGATACAGTGACTCAGAAGCAGAGTGAACTATTTCAAGACAACTTTGTCACACAGATCTTTGCTGCCCTGCTAGCACAGTGCACAGTCTTTAGTGATTTTTTTCTCACTTGGATCAACCTCACCTGCTATAAATAAACAAAAAAATATCAAGTCTTCCTGTTATCTTGGAAGTTATCTAATTACACTTTTAAAACACTCTGTGCACCTTTTTCTTCAAACGCCTGTTTCACCCAAATAAAGTCAAGTTAAATGTGTCACTTCCTCCCTAAAACAATATTTGGCTCCAGTGGATTATGAATGAAATGCCTCTTTCCGTTCTAGTTACTATGATCCTTTGGAGGATTTTTTTTTCCCCTACACCAGAGGAACTGGCACATTCTTTTCTAATAGTTACATGCTGTATTCAAAGTGGATCCAGAAAAAAAAAAAAAAAAAAAAACAACCCATATGTAGTTGTGAGATCCAATTCACTTCAAGGAGCCACTGGAAAGCTATTCATTAAGAAAACCTGCCCTGTCAAGTATGCTGTTGTCTTGACAATCCTAACTACGCGTTTTAAAATGAAAAAATGCACATTCTAGTACAATGGAGTAGAACTCTGTTTGCATTTATGTATTTAAAAGAGGACAGCCCCATCAGATATACATTTTCAAAGAGCCCTGAGATGAACTGAATAGTAAGCAAACAGTAAGCACAGGAGACCCGCAGCTGGGCAGGAATTCTGAATTACAGACCCGGGGCGCAGGGAATGGGGGAGGTCGGTCGCCAAAGCAATTTCCCTCCACGTTAGCGATAGAAACAATGATAGCATATCCAGCCCCAAAAACTTCCAGTACTTTGCTAGCCCTCTTAAGGTTCGAGGGTGCTTCAGCTTTTTTGGTAGGAGGGTCAAAGAAAGGGAAATCCCTTTCATTTTCGAGTTTTTCTTCTCTCACTTCAAAAGGCCTCCCTAAAGCTGTTGCGCAAAGAGGCACCTGGGGAGGCCACCACATTCGGCACAAAACACGAACAAAGCGCAGAGGCGCGGAATCCCAACAAATGAGAGACTGAAGGAGAGAGAAGGGAAGACAAACACCGGAGATGAACCTCTGTAGACTAAGGAAATGACAGCGCCAAACAGAGTGGCCAAGAGAAGACCCAGGGAGCGCTGCTCCCGCCGCCAGGAGTCCCGGGAAGGGCCGGGCAGGCGGCGAGCGCCCCCCCGCGGCCGGGGCTGCCTCTTACCTCCTGGGCGAGTTTCTGCTTGAGCACCAGCGCGGCGCACAGGTAGCCCGCCCGGCCCACGAACAGCTCGTCGGAGCCGCACTCCAGGAAGGAGACCGGCGCGCAGACGGCGCACAGAGCCCGGAACTTGCCCAACGGCTGCACGTAGTCGGACCGTCCCAGGGCGTGGTACACGAGCGTGGCCACGGCGTACACGCCCGCTCCCCCGAGCAGGAAGGCGGCACGGGTGTCGGCGTCCGGCTCGCCCCACTCCTCCGCGCGGGCGCACGCGTCTATGAGGCGCTTGGCCGAGCGCAGGTAGCGCTCCCGGGCCCCGGCGAAGAGCGGGCTCTGCGAGACGTGGTAGAGCATGTAGGCCACCCCGGCCACGCCGCCGTACAGCCCTCCCTGGCAGCTGCTGGCCGCGGCCGCCGCCCCCCGGGCCTCAGCGCCGCCCCCGAGCGGGGGCAGCTCCTGAAGGATGCGCTCGATGGTGGCGGTGACCAAGGGCGCCACCGCCTCCTCGCACTGGCCCGCCAGCAGACTGCCCTGGTAGTCATCGAAGCGGTTGGCGAAGCAGCGCTTGGTGTCCATGCTGCCGCCCGTGCCCCCCAATGCCGGGCCGGGGTCCGCCTGAGGGCGCGCCCTGCAGCCCCGCGCACCACCTCTGGCTCTCGGAGGCGCTCGGCCGGCGGTTGATGCGGCGGGGATGGAGCAAGGAGGCTGAGACGGGAGGTGACAAGAGGAGGCGGGCGCGAGGAAGAAGCACGGAGCGGGTTGCCAAGTGGGGCACCCGGCTGCCGCGAAGCTCCCGAGTGGCCCAGGCGGCCGCGGGGGATGCGCGTCGTACGCCCCCCTCCGAGAGGCCGCGCCCTCGCCGAACCCGCCCCCTCCTGCGCCGCCGCAGCTCGGCCGCCTCTCCAAGGGGCCGAGGTGATCTCCGGCAGGACCCACGCGGGGCCCGCGCCACTCCTCCGGCTCCGCCCCCGGCTCCTCCCTTCCCGGCGGAAGGCCAGGGACGAGCGGGACACGGATCCGGAACGCTGAGGCTGGGCGTACACACGCACCTGGCGGTGGAGGTGAAAGACCTCGAGTCCCCAGTATACTCAAAGCGTGGTCCTCGAGTCAGCAGATCGGCACCACCTGGGAGCGTGTTAAAAATGCTCAGACTTCGTCCCAAACCTATTGAATCAAAATCAGCATATTTAGCAGGAGCCCAGGTGATTCACAGGCACAGTAAAGGTTGAGAAGCCACTGAGCTGGGGGAGGGGGGGAACTAGGAAAAAACGGAGCGCCCTCCTGAAACTTGTTTTTTCATCTTGGTCACTTTGGAGTTCTCATCTGAATGTTTCAATCCCAAAGGCTGGGGCCATCACGTTTCAAGCATGGAATCGGTGGAAGGCCCCCATAGGAAAACCCCTTTGGCCTTGGTTGTCGCGTGGCCTTTCTCGGAGCGTACAGGAGTAAAAATGCAAAGACCCACACCAGGCTAAGGTAAGAGAGAGGGGGTTCTGTCTTTCTCCTACTCTAGAGACCCCTCCTTCCCATGCATGCATAGTAAGCGTCAGTAACTAGGTAATATAAAGGCAAATGCTGCGGGAGAATTTGAATTCGGCCTTTTCACCCTTTTCTGCGTGTTCTTAGGTACCTTTTTCCTCCTTTCCTCCCTGTGTTTCTTCCCTCCTGCTCTCCTTCCACCAGGCGTCATTGAGGGTCTCCTATGTGTCCTGGACTGTGGAAATAGATGGATAAACAAAGTAGAGATGGTCCTAGGCCTCTTGGAGCTTGTGGTCCGCTGAGAAAGAAGATGAGCACTTACACAAACAAGTTGCCTTTCTTTTGCTCAGCTGTTTTAAAATCTTCCTTTCCCAAAGTGTTGACAAGTGAAGGCCAAAGGTTTCCTCTCCCAGGGGTATTTGCATTCGGATAGGGACTGTGCAGGACACAAAAGAATAAGTGTCTCCTGGTACTGGTAGAAACGTTCCCGACACTTTGTGGGGAGAGCAACTTACTTGAAAGGCCAGTTTTTGTTTGGAGGCAATTTTTTCCTCAAAAGTGCTAATTGTCACAATGATCTGGAAGCAGAGATTAAATGTCCTGCCCCTCTGTCCTTGCTTGATGCATTCTGGAAAAGGAGCTCTGTGTGCCTGGATTACTGCCAGGACTGACGTGTCCACACAGTGGATGGTATGGCCTCCATCCATCCTATAAAACGCTGCCAAAACAGGTTTATTTTTATTTATTAAAAAAATTTTTTTTACTGTGTATTCATTTTTGAGAGACAGAGCATGAGCAGGGGAGGGGCAGCGAGAGAGGGAGACACAGAATCGGAAGCAGGCTCCAGGCTCTGAGCTGTCAGCACAGAGCCCGACTCAAGGCTTGAACTCCCGAACCGAAAGATCATGACCTAAGCCAAAGTGGGCTACTTAACCCACTGAGCCACCCAGGAGCCCCAACAGGTTTTATTTTTAATTATAACAATAAAAAAGCTAAGTCCACTTTTAGGCAGGGAGCTTGCTGAGTTAAAGGTATCAAAGAAGCAACTGGAATGTTCAGTTTCTCCGTGGGGCTTCTTCCTCATCCCTCAGGCGTAGGAAGCATTTAGGAGTGACTTTCGTTCCTTCAGACAAGGAGACATAAAATGAAAACCTTCACAGGCAGAAATGAAGCCTTATTCCACTTCATTTCTCCACGCTTCCCCCTTGTCATGAATCTAGAGGCAACTCTGTTAACTTTGACTTTGATTATCCTTTTATACATCCCGGCAGCAATGGCAGGGATTCGTGCCGCCTGACTTCAAAATAAAACTGTAAGCAGGCCTCCATGAGAGGGAGCTCTGCCTTTTCCCAGTTGCATCACCTCCTCTGTTGCCCCAAAATGCTGCATGGCAAGCAACCACAAGCTCTTACAGCCTGTAACAATAAGTTCATTGCTCATGCATCTGGGATTTTGGCTGGGCTCGTTCATGTGTCTGGGGGCGGGCTGGCTGTTGCCTGGGGTGATTGGTGTAACTGGGCTCTGTCTAGTTCACATGTCTCTCATCCTCCAGCCAACCCCAGCATGCCTACATGGCAGTGGCACCGGGGCAAGAGCACAAGTGAAAATAGGCAAGACTTCTTTAGGTCTGGTCTTAGGACTGGCACATTCTTACCTGCCTTAATTTATTAGCAAATCACATGAGAAATACAGGGTGTCTGTATGGAACTCCAAAGTACATGACAACGGGTGTGTTTACAGGGTGGGGTGAAGTGTTGGGGTTCCTAGGTATTTGGACAGTGATGCCAACAAGTAGAACAAAGGTCACAAGATGGATGTGAAACAGCATGATTTGGGAGAAGCAGGAAGCTAGTGGCATCCGGAAGTCCTCTTAAACTCACAGGATACATTAACCCTTTTACCTACAAATGTCTTTCCCAAAGACCTCACCACTTGGTCTGTTGTACCTGGCAAAACTTCAGTCCAGGGCATCCTTCAGGGTAGAGCTAGCTCTTTAGGCCACACGAGGCCTTGCTTCCAATTGCCACTTACTTAATTTGTAAGCAGTAGTTTTTATTTTCATATCATGACTCCACTAGAAAACACTCTCCATGAGCATATGGCTTTTTGTTACATTGATTTACTCATATGCACCAAGAGTCTACAACAGTCCTTGGCACATGTAGTGGGCACCCAATAATAGTTTGTGAAATGGTAAACGAATTACTATGAGAGCATCATAGCAAAGTAACCTGGAGTGTAGAATGCAGAATGAAGCCTTTATTGAAAGTTTACCCATTGTTTTCTTGGCTCCTTTTTGCTGTTATGAATGTAAGAATGTAAACATTCTGCAGTTTCTACCTCCTTTCTTTGTCTCTCCACAGTCTGGTGGCCGGTACACTTTCCAGTGACTTCACACAATCTGGTTTTACTAACTCTGTGTGGGAGATTACATCTTCCAGATATGGCCCTTAGCAACATCTCCTCTGCCATGTGCTCCTCCGCAATGTGACCCTGCCATTCCTTTCATTAGGAGGTAGGGTATGTGCCCCCTCTTCTTGAATCTGAGTGGGCTTATAACCCACAGAATGTGATGGAAACTATACTACATGACATCCAAAGCTGAAAAAAAAAAAGATGCAGCTTCCATCTTCTATGTTGGAGCACTCATATTTGGAGCCTTGAACTGCCTTGTAAGAATCTGACTATTCTGAGGCTGCCATGTTGTGAGGAAGCTCAGATAACATGAAGAGGCCACTTACAAGTTCTTGGGTTGCCAGCCACCCAAGGTGAGTGAGCTACCTTGGATGTGCAGTCTAGTTGAACCTTCAGATAACAGAAGCTCCATGAGAACCACCATCCCAAGCCCTTCCAGAATTCCTGGCCCACAATAGTAGGAGCAAAATAAAATAGTTGTTTTTAAGCTGCCAAGTTTTAGGGTAATTTGTTATGCGGCAATGGTAACCAGAGTATCTTGTTAGCTTCCCATTGTCTAATGCCATAAAGTCCCCTGTAATCAATAGTGCTCATGCAACAGGGCAGCAGATAGTTGGGGAGAGGAATATTTGGGGGAACTCTGGACAGGGAGACAGGAAATATTCAGGCACACAGAAAATTGTGTCCCAAAATAATAATTTGAGTTGGGTTCTTTAGAAGTAGCGGTGACCCCACAAAGAAATATGCAGCCTATACAAAATCTTGCCAAAGACAATTATTTTGCCCTTATCTGCGAGATTTGTCCTGATCTTTACAGAATCTCTGGCAGCATTTGCTGACGAGCAGCTCCCAACACATGGTTTCTGTGATCTTGCTGAATTGCCCAGTTCCTAGTGCTTCCTTAGGATTTCCTTATTCAGATTATGCAAAACTCTGGATGGAAAAATAGTTTTTGTGGGTTTGTCAAGGAAATCACATAAAAATGATGCAGAACTATCCAGAAAGAAAATATTAAAATCAAAGGGTTTATCTTATGCAAATCATTGTCGTCTAAGGGTGAATATGAAAAAACATCAGTAATTTTTTTTTTAAATTTTTTTTTTAACGTTTATTTATTTTTTTTGGGACAGAGAGAGACAGAGCATGAACAGGGGAGGGGCAGAGAGAGAGGGAGACACAGAATCAGAAACAGGCTCCAGGCTCCGAGCCATCAGCCCAGAGCCCGACGCGGGGCTCGAACTCACAGACCGCGAGATCATGACCTGGCTGAAGTCGGACGCTTAACCGACTGCGCCACCCAGGCGCCCCTAAAACATCAGTAATTTTATAACCGTCAGATCTCAACACTTAAGGTTTAGTACATCTTAGGGTATAAACCACCTTAAAAACACTTTCAGATGGGGTGCTTAGGTGGCTCAGTTGGTTGAGCAGCCAACTTTGGCTCAGGTCATGATCTCGGGGTTCGTGGGCTCGAGCCCTGTCAGCTGTGCTGACGGCTCGAAGCCTGCAGCCTGCTTCAGATTCTGTGTCTCCTCTCTGCCCCTCCCCTGCTCGCTCTCTGTCTCTCTCTGTCTGTCCCAAAAATAAATTAACATTAAAAAAAATTTCAGAAAGTTTTCCACACTTTTGCTCAAAGGGTGCATCATGGAAATGGTTTAGATAACTGAGTCAGTGATATGTCTAGTCATTATACTACTTTCTCTTTGGAAATGCATCTCTGATTTTTCAGCTACCTAAACCTTAGAGACTTCTGCTTCTGTTCTTTTGCCCCCTAGAGCCCCTTCTCAAAATAGCAGCTGGAATAATAGAAGTCAGATCCTATCTTCTGATTGATGTCAATGTTGTACCTGTCCCTCAAAGTAAACTCCAGAGCCTGTATGACAGCCCAAAAGGTCCACTGCCATCTGGCCCTTGTTACTTCTCTGACTTACCCTCTTATTCTTCTTCCCCTTGCTCCTTCAGTTCCAGCCACACTGGCTGCCTTGATAGCCCTCAAACCTACTAACTAGTACGAGTCTAAACTTTGAAAGTTTTCTTTGCAGTTTTCTTTTCCTGGAATTCTCTTCAAAAGATATACTTGCCCCTTCACCTCTCTGTTAATGAAGTCTTCTGCAACTTATTATTTAAAATTTTTTAATGTTGATTTATTTTTGAGAGAGAGGTAGAGCATGAGCAGGAGAGGGGCAGAGAGAGAGAGAGAGAGAGAGAGAGAGAGAGAGAGGGAGGGAGGGAGAGAGAGAGAGAATATCCAAATCAGGTTCTGTGCTCACAGCAGAGAGCCCTGTGTGGGACTGGAACTCAAAAACCTTGAGATCATGACCTGAGCCAAAGTCAACGCTTAACCAGCTAAGCCACCCAGGCACCCCTATAACTTATCATGTAAATTACAGCCCTTTGCCCCAACCATTAGTATCTACTAACTATATATTTACTGATTTATTTTGTTTCTTGTATCTCTCCCTCTACTAGAATGTAATCCCCAGAAGGACAAGAATTTCTGTCTCTGTTCCCTGCTTTATCCCCAGCACCTAGATTAATGCCTGGCACACAATATTTGCGCAGTAAGTATTTATTGATGTCTGTGATACCCTTCTTAATGTCAAAAACTTCCACCAATCCCTAATTCATGGCTAAGCTTTGCTGTCTGCTTTCTTGATCAATTTCTCGATAGTGCTCCTCTTACAAGCAGCCCTAAAAAATGTGCATTTTTAACATGAGATTTGATTTTCTTTCTTGTCTCTTTTTCTCTACATCCAGCATTATCCATTTTAAGCATTTTTTAGCTATTGTATGTCAAACATGATTGCCAGTACACAATGTAATGGCAGATTAGGAACCAGGCACAAGTAAGTAAACTGTCACCTATCACTCTATCTGAAGGAGGGACAGCCCAGTGTGATCAGTCACATTGGTCAAGAACAAGTAATAATGTACACCCTACCTTACTGGATATGAGAAAAATATGTGTCAATTATACCTTTGGGTACTATAATGTATGTGTGTGGATATGTGATTAGAATGCACTATAATCAATTATTGCTGTGCAGGGCAGTACTAAAACACAAATGCTTCTATTTTAAACTGATGAATCTCTGTAGAGTTACCTTAAATTGGCAAGTGAAGATAGGGGTGTTCCTTTGGCCAGAGTAAATTTTTTAACGTGAAAATTTTAACAGTTTCCTACATGTAGTCATTTTTAAGGTTTCCTCTAATATTCAGGATTAGGAGGAGAGGAGTGATTGAGAACCCCTATGGTGGTATAGTTCAACAGGTATCAAATATGACCTGGTAATGAATAATGTATTAATTAATACTCCTGCTTTTTGTCTTGTGATAAAAAATATTTCTACTTCTACATCTATAGTTCTTATTGTTGAAAGAAGTTCTGATGTTAGAAATACAGAGTTTTTCTCTGATAAAATTGCTAAACATTTGCATGAACACAGAAGTGGTAGTTAAAAGATCAGATATGTCTTAGATAATTGATACTGATTATGACTCTGGAATGCTCACGCTTACACTTTTCCAGTTGTCCTCAATGTGAAATGACTTCTCAATATAACTTGGCCCAGCATTCTCATGAGATATAATTAGGAATGGTATCCAGAAAGAACTGGGGTCCCAGCCTATAGTCCAAAAGGCAGAAAAATCCATTACCAGATAACCAAAGAAAGCTAAGTGCTTTGGGTTAGCAAAGGTGAACAGAATAGTGAAGCTGAAAAGATCCAAGAAATCATCAATTTAATCCTTTCCTCTAACAATGAGGAAACTGGGGACCATGGCAGCCATACAATAGGGAGTCACCGAATGATTGGAAGGAGGAGTGATGGGATCATATCTGTGCTTTAGAAAGATCAATTTTTGGGGTGCCTGGGTGGCTCAGTTGGTTAAGCATCCGACTTTGGCTCAGGTCGTGATCTCACAGTTTGTGAGTTTGAGCCCAGCACAGAGCCTGCTTCTGATCCTCTGTCTCCCTCTTTCTCTGCCCCTCCCCCGCTTTCATGTGCGTACTCTCAAAAATAAACAAACATAAAAACAGTTTTAAAAAAAGAAAGATTTTTTTTCTAGGAATTTATAGGCTATATTTGAAAAGTGGAAGATTTATCAGAATGATAAGCTAAATAGTCAAGAAATGAGGAAATCTGAGCTAGGTCAGTTGCAGGAAGGATGGAGAGACTTAGAAGGAGTCATGAGATATTAGTCATGAGATATTAAGCAGGTAGGATTTACAGGCTTTGGTGACTGACTGGATGTGGGAGTAAGGAAGAAAAATGAAAGAAAATCAGTGATTATGGCTGGTTTCTGCTCTGGCCAATTGGGCCAGTGGAGGTGCTGTACACCAGGTCAAAGGATATAGGTAGTAGAACAGATATGAGGTATGAGAAGGAGACCAGTGGCTAATTCAGTTTTAAAACTTTTGAGTATGGCTTTCAGTCTTATTAGAGAGGTGGAGAGTAAGCTTTGGAAATGGGTTCATATAGTGAAAATATGGGTAAAGGCATGCAGCTAGACTTCAGAGCAAGGTCTGTTGTGCTTGCCAACCCAGCTTCCAGTCCCTTCATTTATCAATGATACCTTAATATCTTGAGTTTCCTTTGAGAAACAGCCATTCCTCATTCCCATAACATGTAGTTTGAAGGGAGCTAAGCCATTCCCGTGTCCCCATGGGTGAGCATATATCCCAGACCTGCCCACAGAGAAGCAGTTATGAGAGACTAGAACCATCAGGAAAGCTGGGATTGCCAAAGCAGGATTAAATTTACAGCTGCTTGTGGCCATGCTATGAATGCAAGGAGAATGCAGGCTGAGCCTAAAGCCACACTGAGGAAAGCAGTAGATAAAAAGTGGGCCATAGATAAAAAGTGTGACCTAATGACACTGTTGGTACACCTATGCCTGGCTTCACCTGAAGAACTGTTTAGTTATGGGATCCCATATGTCCCTTTTGCTCAAGTGGGTGTCTGTCACTTACAAAAGAAAGGAGTCTGGACTAATTGGCGTTTTTGATAATTTAAAGTAGTTTGCTTTGACTTGTTTAGAGAAGTTGGGTAGGCAGGGAGGGAAGCAAGAAAAATGTTTAGAAAGGTTGTTAGAAGTCATGTTTGGCGGAATGGTTGAGAACAAGAACTGACTGAGAACAGCTCTTCAGCAATGAATGAGTGGAGGTGTTGAAATGAGACCTGATGTCAAATTCCTGGTCCACCAAATCTTACTGTGTGACTTTGAGAAAGTAATTTAACTTTCCTTACCATCAGTTCTCTTATCTATAAGTTGGTGACAATAAGAGAATCTGTCTCATAGGATGGTTAGGATAATGCCTATAAAGGGTTTATCTTGATGTCTAGCTCTGAATAAATGTTAGCATTTGTCCAAAATCATTATTATTCTGCATGCAGTTGCTTCAAGAAGTGGGTTCCTGCTGCCTGATTACCACCTAACCTCTTGTATCTTCCTCTTTTTCTAAGTTGATTCTCCTTAGAGAAGAGTTGCTGGGGGAGGGTTTGCTTGTTTATTTGTTCTGCCTGCCTATTCTTTCTCAATGATTCCTAAGTCAAACATGTTCCATTTAGAAGCCTAAAGATTTCTTTTTTTTTTTTTTAGTGTGACAAATTCAACTTCTAAGGTAGAAAAAGAAATCATGCTGTGTTTTTTCAGCTTTGATGTGATTGCTAATAATAAAGATTCAAGTTGACAAATTTTGTTGCTGATGCATAAGACAGAATAAAATTAATCTTTTTGAAAGCTATCTGGTTCTGCAGGGCTAAGAGTAGGCAGGAAAGTAAAAACATATGACATAAAGCCATGGAGGAGAACAGATGTGCAAAGGAGGATAAGCGGGCGCTGTATGAGGGGGATGTTTGACTCATTGGTTTTCCATCTTTTAAGTACAATGGAAGCTTTCCAAACTTTCTCCCTACTTCCCCAAACTCTCACAACTTTGAAACAACCCTAAGATGTCTTTGGTTGCTTTGGTTATTTGAACTACTTTGGAAAAGACTGACAGAGAAATTCTGTTTATTCTTGGCTAGAAGTTGTACAACCCAAACTTAGTGAAAAAAGAAAAAAGTAAGTCTATTCAGTCTCTTAATTATATTTTCTCTTTCAATTAAGATGTTTCAGAAAGTTGTCAATGTTATCTCTGTATTTAACATGCAGGTAAGTAGCTCACCATAGTTACTTGAAATTCACAACTAGAACCTTCACATAACTGAATCTCTAGGCCACCACTACTCGGTAAAATTGGTTTTTATTCAGATGGTGACACCTAGCCTCTTTTTGTCAAAACCACTGTGCATTTGGATTTTGTGTTTTGCCTGAGACATACAAAATTGGAATTCAGATATAGAATACTAGTGGATTCAGGAGAGATAAGTAGGTAAGTACATATAAATGATGAGTGTAAAAGCATCCAAAAGATTGGCCTTCTATAAAAGGGAGCCCGAAGATCAGTCAATGGAATAGAACATCATGACAGTCTAATAGGTTCTTGCTGCCAGATAAATGTCATGAAAAAGCAGAGATATTTATCTAGTCTCAATATTTATTTTTAAATCTGAGGTCTATTATCTCTTATAAGGGCTTTATTTCATTTACCAAATGATTAAATATAAATAAAATGAAGCCATTTGTCTAGTATAAGCTCACTCTGGTTTGTGGTGCAGACTAAGTATCCAGACCCGCCCCCCCCCACAAAAAAAAATGTGGAGTTTGAGGCTGGCTAAGGGATTAACATCTGGATGTCTGTTCTTTTCTTCCTAATTAACCAAAACAGCATGAGAACCATTGTTTTCCTATGGGTAAAAACAAAAATAAATCAAAGAGGAGGATTTGCTTCCCTGAGAACTGCACTTTTATGTATTTTCATTGTTCTTTTAAACTTCTTTTTCATAAAATATTTGTGAGAAGAAAAATACTTTGAATCTTAGATTTATATCATCCTCTGTTTATAAAGCTTTAAGACTTTGTATAATATTACCTACCACCTAAAGTAGGCATCTATCTGCATCCATTAGGATTAGATTTAGCTGCTTAAGAAGAAAAATATGTTAAAACTTAGGCACAGTAATTTCTCTCACCTATTAAAAGACTCACAGATACAGAGTGATGTCAATAAGATACTAGAATAGAAGCCCCAGACCTTCCTCCCTCCCAGGGAAATAGATTCCACAACAATATATGAACCAATTCCCCGTGTAAGAACTCAGAAAGCCAGTTAAGAGGTTTTTGCACCCAAGGACAAGCATGAAACCAGTGACACTGAAGTCCATAGGAACATTTGTGGTACGCTCTGGCCACAGCCCCTCTCCCTGGCACAGTGCCATGCAATGTGCAGCAAACTCCTAGCTCCAGGTTTACCTAGGAAGTGAAAGAGAAGACTAAACCATACATCCAACGTTCTGACTTTTAGGAGCCTGCCCAAGGGACTGGCTTCTGTTTCACCTGTCTTGGAACACTGATGGGAAACTGGCATAGTCTAGGTGCCTGGAGGTTGCTGAGAACAAAAATGAGCTGGAGCATGCTAAAGCCCTAGGGAACTACAGTACAATAGACAGAGATGATATAACTCAGCAGCCTCTCTTTTAGTGGGGGAAGAGAAGACTGGA